TTAGAGATTTCTATATTGTAAGATGAAGAAGTGTTTTTTTTTTGCTTAATTACGAACCTTCGAAATTCAAGCGGCTCCGTAGTTGAAAATAGGCTCATTGAGAACCCTTTAACGAACAAAGATAACATTGGTTCACGATTGCTCAGTAGTTCTGTGGTTCTTGATTTCTAGTGAACAAACGCTGCAGGTTTGCGCCAATAATTTAGAAAAAGGCAGGCTCACAAGCGGAACAAAAATTTGGAACGCAAGAATTAAGATGGATAATATGCATGTAGCTTAACAAGAACTGGAGGTTTCATGAAATCATGATTTTAAAGAGAAAACATCAATGTAAACGTGAGATCGAAACTAAATGCTTTGAGAGATAGATAACGTATGAGCAAGTAAACATCGCGCAAATGCCCTTGCTAAAACAACTTTACAATTGATATTTGTGTTAACTAGCACTGAAACTGAATCTCAAGCCATTTTTTCTTCTTAGAATTCTCACGTTCTCCATTCTTAATTAAAGTGAGAAGGTAAAAAAAAAACCTTTAGAGGCAATCAATCTATTCATTGAAAATCTCAAAGTGTAGGCGTTAGGTGAAAAGTCAAGCATTTTGCATGGCAATATCATATGCGGAGATACAGTTATCGAGCTTTCAAGTAGAATTTCAAGATACAGTCTTACCATCTAAATTACCGGGACGTGGTATCATCCGCATCGTTTCTGGACTAGCGGAATCGTATGAAACTAGCACTGGGTCACCTATAACCATGCAGGTGGGGTCTCGATGTCGGGAATCCTTGCGTCGCCTGGAGAAATCTATCGTAGGATTTGTCAGTTATGAGGTAGCCAAGACCTCTTTACCTGCTGCTCGACCTCAAATCCATCTTCTTCATGATCGCGCGCGCACGTTCTTTGATTCTTTCGCTATGCGAACGTTGTAGTTTATTGCTAGCACTAAAATAGTTTTAAATACTATAAATAAAATGTGCGCTCAAATTATAATGGTGGAGGATAGGTTGAAAACTGAATGATTACTGCAAGCAGTAGCTACTGCTAGCAGTAGCATAAAAC